GGCGTGGGGGGTTGGGTGGGGGCCCGGGGGGGGGGGGGGGGGGTGGGAGCCAATGTGGTGCCCCGATGGGCGGGACGAGGGCAGAAGTGTTTCTGCAGCCGGAAAAGAAGCCAGATCCTGCCCTCCTCCTCCTCCTCCTCCTCTCAGGCCTCTGGTGTCCTCCCCCATCCTCAAGGCCCCGTTTTCTGTAGGGCTTCCTCTACTGCAGGGGGTGGGGTGGCAGTGTGTCCCTCGTGTGTGTGTGTGTGGGGGGGGTGCTCAGCTCCTGTGGCCACATCTTCCTCTGTGGTGGTGGCCCTGCTCATTTGGATGGGGTGCCTGGTGAGGCCCCCCTGGGGCTTCCGGCTGGCAGGGGGTGTGTGTCCCACCCGGAGTCATGGTTGCCAACTCTTGGTTTGGAAATGCTCTGGGGAGTTTTGTGGGCGGGTGATGCAGTAGAGCCCCCACCCTCCAAAGCAGCTGTGCTTGTACGTTGGGGATCTGATGTAGTTCTGGGAGGCCTCCAGCCTGCTCCTGGAGGCTGGCAACACTATAAAGGTTAGTCAAGAATAGAAGAGGGCCAACTCTTAAAATCTAATTATGAAACCTACAAAATATACATGTATTTATTAAACACAAATTAAAATAACGAATAAGGGCCCATTCGTACCTCATATACAAATATAAAAACATACAAAGGCTGATGAAACAGACCTAACGCGTTTCGGCCTTTGTATGTTTTTATATTTGTATATGAGGGGAAAAGATCAACAACCTCAGATATGCAGACGATACCACTCTAATGGCAGAAAGTGAAGAGGACCTACAGAGCCTCTTGCTCAGGATAAAAAAGGAGAGCACAAAAGTGGGCTTGAAGCTCAACATCAAAAAAACAAAGATCATGGCATCCGGCCCCATCACTCCTTGGCAAATAGAAGGGGAAGTCGTGGAAGTAGTGACGGACTTCCCGTTCCTGGGATCCCAGATCACCTTAGACTGTGACAGCAGCCATGAAATTAAAAGACGCCTGCTCCTTGGGAGGAAAGCGATGGCGAACCTGAACAGCATGATAAAAAGTAGAGACGTCACCCTGCCAACAAAAGTCCGCATGGTCAAAGCAATGGTGTTCCCAGTAATCATGTATGGCTATGAGAGTTGGACTATAAGGAAGGCCGAGCGCCGAAGAATAGATTCTTTTGAACTATGGTGCTGGAGAAGACTCTTGAGAGTCCCTTGGACTGCAAGAAGATCAAATCAGTCAATCCTAAAAGAAATCAACCCTGACTGTTCCCTGGAAGGCCAGATACTGAAGCTGAAGCTCAAATACTTTGGCCACCCAATGAGAAGGGAGCACTCACTGG